GTCAAACGAGACATGCATCATTAAATAGATAGGTGAAGCCCAGATAGGCCGCTCAACTGTATGTTAAAAAGAAAAGAAAAGAAAACTCACCAAAATCTGATGCAATTGAAGGTAAAGAGCAAAAGATAGAAGAAAATGCTGTCGGCAAATCACTATTTGCAATTCACTTAAAGCTTAAAGAGTTAATCACACAAAGTTATTAATTTCGAAGATGCTTACATATCTAACAATGCAACTACAGGGCTTTCATTAATGTCCGAGTACAGTTCCCAATATAAATTGGTATTTCCTGTTTATTTTGATGTATTAATTTAGAAATTTACATTAACTCTGACTGACTGAAATGAAGAAATCCGCTTACACCAAAATAAGTCAAATTAAAAAAAAACAATTTAATTGTTAAACATATAATGTTTATTAAAAATTTTATTATTATATATTGCATACATCTTGCCATAAAATTTATATGTTACAGGTAAAAAATTAGTTATGTTTACAGTTGTTCAAATTTAAGCTAGAAGTTTTAACAGGTAGAGAATATAAAAAAGTCACAATAGTTTTATTTATCTTAGGATAGGTTTGGAACGTCTGATGTCGATACAAAACAGAAAATAATTTTACCACTCACCAAAACACTTCTACTTTTTCCGATGCTGTGTTTTGTTAACAAAGTTAACATTCTCAACGCACAATTAAAAAGTGTTTTGGTGAGTGGTATTTTGTTTAGTTTTTATAATAAAAGGTGTTCAAAATGTCCACCTTCATTTTCTAGACGTAAATGTACACTCCGTTTCATGAATTCGAAAACACGTTCCAATTCATTTGGCGTAATGGATTCGATTTCATGGCGAATCGCTACTTCTAGGTCTTCAAGTGTGTGAACACGCTGCTTGAAAATGTTATCTTTTATACATCCAAAGAGATAATAATCTAAAGGTGTAAGTTCAGGGGTTCGACTAGGCCACAATCCTCTACTAATAATTCGATCCCCATAAAATTCTTCCAAATATCTAACCGTTTCTGCTGCAGTGTATGCTGGTGCCCCATCTTGTTGAAATTATCCAAACCGTAATTCGTCAAAAAAAAAAACTCAAATTCAATAAATCATAGTTGTTCAGATTTTCATTGAACCATTCACAATACCGTATTCGTTGATCGTAGAACCCTATCGACAAAACAAATATTCAGAAATGTATGTTAGCTTTAAACGATATAAAATTTTAATTTTTTTACACCATATAACAGTTTCAAATTTGTGCTGCTTCATCTTATCTACATGATTCTGGTCTGCAGTTAACACTGCAGATTCGCATTCTCACAACGTCTTATGAAAATTTCAGTTTAATACACACAGAAATTCATTTTAAGGCTTTTAAGTTAATTATAAATGTAGTTTCAAATATTTAATGTGTGTAACATAAAAACTACGTGCATGCCTGTTTGGGCACGCAACTGGGGGATAGATTTTTTAGGGCTCTTCTCCATACGTTGTTGAATATCGTCAACTGCATTTTCAGTTAAAACTGTTGGCCTGCCTGTTGATTTCCCCTTACAAATACAATGTTTTTCTTCATATCTCTTGACAAGTATTGATTTGTGCTTCCTAAAAATGTCATAATCAACGTCTATATCAGGGAAAGCTTCAGTGAAATGGTCAATACAAGATTGTAATAGACAAATATTAAAGTTTTTCCTACTCTAAATAAAAATTGTTTTGTTCTTACGACTTTCAATGTATTTTTTTTTATTGTGGTCACCTAACATAGTATCAAAATTATGCACAATAATTATAATTAGGTATAATTAGAATTAAAATTAGTACTGGTTACCCATACAGAGTGACCTAAAACTGATCGTTGCTGGATACTGGAAAAAAACGGAAAGAGCAAATAAGTAACCGCAAACGCAGATTTTTAGTGAACGAGTATTTGACTTAAAACTTACTAAGTTTAACAGCCTAAGGTCCGTGATGTAATCAAAATTGTGTTTCCCAAATCCATAAAAATTTTCTTTTATTTTAACTGTAATGGCATTTAAAATAATCTGAATTAACTAAGTTTCTTATTATTCCATGACGCAGCCGCTTGATTATTTATTTGCTTATTGTGTGTATTGCACTTTTTTAGTTATTATATTCAACAGCTTTCATGTAATGTTATTTCTTTAGTATAACTAAATACTATAAAAGTATTACTATCAATTTTATTTTATTAAGTCAATACGCATAACGCATAATGATGATAATGATACTTTGTGATGTAAAGTTAAAATCAAACATGTTGAAAGCATGTTCTACTCGTTTGTTGTCACAACTTAAGTGTATTTATTGACTTCTACTCTTTTAGCGGAAACTAAACACATTTAGCCTCCAAACACTAAATTATTCAGTTCTTTATATATTGATGGTGCTACTTTTGACAAAGTAAATGAAAATATTCCGTATTGTTTATTTATAACCAACATGACACGCCGCGAGTTGATTAGTCCTATGGAAATTTAAAATTTTTTAATTTTTGGTAACCAGTCTTTGAGTAACAAAAAATGAGGAATATATCATAATATTAAACTTTCTAAGGGAGAAGAAAATTACATTGCAACATACAAAATGTTTCACAAATAACGGAACATATACTGATAGGATAATATTCAAAGTGTTTTTTTCAAATTATTTTAATTATTTGTGCATATTATTTTGATTAACTATGGTTAAAGCTATGTTTTATTAGAGACGTATGGCATACATAAAGGCCAAATCCCTGGTCACTAATGGAAGCGTCATTATAGAATGACTTAATCTTTAAACTTTCAGTAATGTATTCTTTTTTCATAACGATAAAGTGGTTATTTTTCGAGATAATTGTAGTTAAATATAGAGTAACGCCAACGTGCTGATTTTTATTGCTCATATCCTTTATGGTCACATCAGGAACTTTACTCATAAAATTGGATCCGTGAAATAAGTTTTACAATAAATTTTTGCAAAAGATTTAATAGGAAGACCGATGCAATTTAAAATAAGCACATTTACAGACCAATACTGGTCCAATAATGGTCCAAAAAGCTATCTCCGAAAAAAATATCGCTCCATACATTTAATTTAAAGTCATATTAATTATTTGCATTTATAAACATTTGCATTAGCATTTTTTATAAACATTTGGAGTTCCCCATGGATCTATCTTGGGCCCTGTGACCTACAACTCGTCAATGTTATACCTTTTGGGTATTTGGCTAACTCTGTGGAGAAGGGAGTGGTTTTCTAGATGTTAACAGGGCGCCAGACAAATTTTCTATAGCCGTACAAATACCCTAATAGTTGACTGTCGACTTCCGAAAATAGTCAAAAAGAGGTCGACGATAAATAAAATACGATAATAGTACAACACAAGATGAATATATTTTATTTTACGTATTTACACTTATTGAGTTAATTGTATATTTACTGAATACTGTCTGAAAATTGAAATAGTATTTTGATTAATAGCAAAAGCAAATATTGAGACTAGCTACGCAAACGATTAGAGATTAGGGAGATAAAATCTATTTAAGCAAAATGCAAAAGACAGGCAATAGGCTTCGAAATGGCGTCGCTTGAGCTCAGGCGCATGCGCATAAATACACACAAGCAGGTGTATACCGTAAATAAGCAGATAAGTACCCCTAATTTCCGCAAGCGTATTACAAAATGCTGTCAATTAATCTAGTCAATAAAGCGGAAAATAAAGAGAAAATATAAAAAAAAAAAACAATGTAAATGTGCCAATATGGCCAATAAATAAAGAATATTAACAAGCGCATACATGCAAACAATCGGATATAAGCCAGTAAAGCTAAGCAAATAATAAATGTTACTAAGCAATAGCAAATTACCAATACTAATAATTTAATGTTACGATCAAAATTTAAGCATAGAGAAAAAAAAATAAAAGCAAAATGTTTGTTTCAAAAACTTGCGTGATATCCTTTCTTATCCAAGAAATATGTCTGGTAGAGGATCTTCCACGGAGCTGTACCAAAACTCCTATGAGATGACGAATGATGGTAGACGTGGTAGCACCGATTGCGTAATGCTTGGCTGAGACTGTCACAGGAGATATTTGAATACGTACAGGAACGTCAACAGTGTTCCAAATGCTGTTACGTAGAAGACCAGCTTCAAAAACAAAAGGAATCAAGCTTTCAGGAAATATTCCAAGAATGTGTGGTCCCCAAAAAAAAACCCCAATGGAAAATTAAAAAAAGAACATTAATTTAATGCTATGGCGCAATACATATGATATATATGGTCACAACGTGACGTATTATTTTAACAAATTAATTTACCTAAATTTTTAGTAATAAAAATAAACTGGCAACGTCGCATGCCATTGCCTATATGGTTAAATTTTACTACAGCTACAAAAGTATAGAGCTTATTACAAAAGGCTAAATGTAAAACAAAAGAAAAATAACTATAATAAAAATACTTACCCTTAACTAAGGGGTTCTTTATAAAACTTGCCGCTTGTAGGCTATCTGCGTATGCGGACAGACGAATACGGACCTTATGGTATCTAATGATAAGGAAACAATTCTTACAATTTGCAATTTGAACTGAACTATTACTAAATATTATTGAATTACCGCTAAAAATGTACAATAACTAATAACTAATGCCTACCTCAATTCGTTTTCCTGGGGATACGATTTTCACACGGCGTGGTGTCAGTGATCCTTCATAAGAAGTCAGAATAAGGGGTTTACACCAAAAATACTATAATCCACAGCACTATATACCCCTAAATTCTTGATAAATGGCCACAAAAATTGCTCCTAATTAAAGATGATTTCAGAAATCATAGATTTTTCACTGGCCACCAATTCACACACACCCTCCAAAAAATCTAACCTTCTCCTGTCTTTCCACCCAGAAAGCGCGCGGAAAAACCCCCCCTTGGAAACTAATCATAGTGTGATTGGACAATAGCTCTGCCAATCACAGTCAAGCATGTCGGAAATAATTGAAAATATTGGTTTTTCCTGATACAACAATGCAACGGAAGGCTATAATACTATATTCTAAGTGTAAATTAACTAACTAAAATAAGACGATGTCATAATCGGGAGTTTTCAACATTAAAAATGCTATGCACAATCGGGCAACACTGTACCGCGCAGACTCTACTTGACTTAATTTAAGTCGATCAATAATCACGGAAGAAGAAGGAGACAATATGGCGAGATGTCAAATTTGAAATAAAATAAACAAACAAGAATCAATGCCCAGTGGACTACATGAATTTTAAATTTAAGAAGCCTGTAAGAGATACACTTTAAGGTAAGCTACGTTAATTAATTGTTAGATACGTAAATAATCTCTAAACCATATCACGAAATGAATTAGGTTATACAAAATTTATATTTATAAACTATTATTTTAATCTTTATTTCAGGGTCCCAGCATTTTTGCGTTTCGAGATGCCACTTGCCGCCTACAAAAACTCCAAGGAACGATAAACACTCCTGTCTACTGTTATAAAAAGGTACGTTTTTCAAAATGTTATTTATTTTATTAATGAAATTACTTTTTAGCTAGGTATGCAAAGGGATCTCTTCAAGGAAAACCCAATTGGTGGACTATACGAATATCCTTTTCCTTTTAACATAAAAGATCAAATCTTATCTATACAGTGTGATGTTAATTTTAGAGTGAAAATACAAATTTTGAATGGATAGAGATGTTTAAAGAAATAGGAAATAAAACCTTATAAATACTGAGTGTTTCAGTTTTCAGAATAATATACATGCCTTCTTTTAAGGTAAAAATTAAACGTTACAGCCCTCTTCTCTTCATCTTATTTAACATCGATTTAAGTGACATTATTAACTGCTGTAAACTTTTATTTGCTGGTGACTTAAAAATATATTCAGCCTTGAATGATTGCCAGCAAATGTAGGTGGACCTTGACCGCACTCAACGTTGGTGTCAGTTGAATAAGTTACATCTAAATCCTTCGAAATCCAAAGTTCTTACATTTTGCAGGATCCAATTATCTTATGAATTTATTTACTTAATAAATAATACTTTATTCTCTCGTTGTGAATGTTTAAGGATTTAGGTGTATTTTATGGCTTCATTATTAGAAACTAAAAAATTCACATGTTTTAATGCTTACGTTAGATCGAGACTTAAATATGTTGCTTTGATATGGTACCCGCATCACAATGTACATAAACGACTGATTGAAAGCGTTCAGCGTAAATTTTTAAAGTATTTGGCATTTAATCATTCTGAATTTTATCCTGAACGAGGAGTTAGTTATGATCTCTTAACTAATCAATATTGTGTCACTAGCTTGTCTGTCAAAAGAGTTTGTATATCGTTAGTGTTTTTATTTAAATTGGTTCATAACTCGATTGATTGTGCAAATTTACTTTCAAATATTAATTTTTATGTCCCTAGAATTAATTCAAGAAATAGTATTACTTGTAATTTTCGGTAGAAGGGACGCTCCGAATAAACGGGTTCGGTTGCGGAAAATAAAAAACAGGACGGCCTCAAACTGGCCGTTGAGCCGAAATATTGCTAAGGTGGGTGCTACAGTTCCGAAAATTCCAGTAACCTCAGTGCGCCATCGATCACTGCAATTAATCATTTCAAAAAGCACAATGCAGCAGATTTTAACAAAAGATCTGAATCCATTCAAAATTCAGCTAACCCGGAAATTGAAACCAGATGACCAGAGGAGCGGAGACAATCCTCGGGTTATTCAAGAACGATCGCTGTATACCCAAAGAGTGACAGTGTGGTGTGGAATATACGCAGGTGGGGTGATTGGTTCATTCTTTTGAAAATGATGCTGCAAACGCACTGACTGTCGATGGAGAACGATACCGAGAGATGCTGTTGAACTTTTTGTGGCCTCATTTGGATGGCATGTATTTGGATGACATGTATTTGGATGACATGTGGTTCTAAAACTTATTACGGGACTACTTCTAAATTTGTTGATTTTTAAACATTAGCTAAATGACATTAAATATAGGTATTATATAAAATACATTATTCTTGGCGCATTCACCATTTTCTCGAATTTTATTGAACTTCCTTTTGCCAAAGTTAATTTGCGTAATTATTTTTTTTATAATGCGAAAAAAACCTCGTACCTCAAAAATGTTTTAAATAATAGTTATTTATGGTACTAGTGTGTTACGGTATATACAGCGTGTCCGGAAAGGTAATGTCAAAAATGAAGGGGTATACAGAGGAGGTCAATAACAGCCACTTCTTATTTGTGGAAGGGCGAAATGGGCGGTGACTATTAGACGTCTTCATTATAGCCATCTTTCTCTATCGCACGGATTTCTATGACTTACTTTATCACTCTCACGTAACGGCCGATGAACCATGGGAACTTTCCGACCCTGTATAAAGGAAATAAGCAGTAAATAAACATAGCCCCCTTAAGCAAGCTTGTCTGGGGTGTAGATACATATTTAAAATATAGGAATACATAGAAATATTCAATAAAATTAATCAACAAACAAACAACATGTAACACATAATATGAGGTTTAAGTAGATACAAAATAAAATAACCCAACAGGAAAGTGTAAAGGACTATTAAAAAGTACATTTCAGTATACAACATGTACATATATAACGTCGTGTGTGATGAACCAATAATAACAAAACAATTAAAATGCAATATTTGCTTATTACTGGTTAATGTTATTAATCAGGTTACTTATTACATGTCGTGGTCTGCGCAGCAAATAAGTTCTCAATTTTATTTTAAATAAATTTAGTGAAGTGACATTCGTTATGGCGTTGGGTACACTATTCAGCAATTTCGGTACAAGATAAAGGTTTGACCTTTGACCAATATTTTTTTAATTTTAGGTGGTAAGTAGTAGTTTACAAAATTTTGCCAACTTTTTAATTAATAAAATCTATTTTCCTCATATGAAATCCTGCGTTTCTTTTGGGACACCTTTTATTAAACAGTATAAAAATAGTGTGCAAAAAGATATACATCCTATATCTCAGTAACGGATTACATCTAAGTGTAGAGCTTAAATCTTTTTTCCTTTCATAATTTATATGGTCATAAATCTGTTACTATTGCTGTACTTTAACAAATAAAATCACACATAGTTTTATGCTAACCAATTTCTAAAAGAAGTAATACATATTTATTCCGAAAAAATTGGAAAGAAGTAAAATAAAGAACCCTTCGTGTTGAAGAATGAAATAAATACATTTAATTGTAATTAACTGAAGAAGGAATTAAATTCTATACTTCCTGTATACATTTTCATTTTCTCTCCCTTTCCCTTGAACTTTCGTAATGTCAGAAATAACAGATTTTAAACTTAAACTTCGAAACCCTTTCATAAACTTCATTCAATTTTTGCATCAAGGCTCTTGCTGAAACTTAACTCTTACGCCCAGTTTGTTTATAATTTAAAATACAATTTCTGCTTGTATTTAACGTTTTGCAGAGAGTTTGAAAACATATCATTATTATATAATTGAAAAAGTGTTGCTTGGGGCTAAAGTATCATAAACAAGTAGAAGCTGAGTTGCTAGGTATCTTTCTATAATTAGTTACAAAAGAAGAAAATAGTTAACGAGAGATTAAATTGGAGATAATAAGGTAGAGAAAATAAACATTTCGATATTATTCTAGAATGGCAAAATGCAGTGTTATACTAAAACGTGATCTTGTATTAATACAGCGGTTTTTCTTGATATGAATATGTAGTTGTTAAAATTAAAACCACTTTTCACATACACTATATATGTATATAGGTACAGCTCTTTACACAGGCCAATTCCACCCAAAGCTTTATTATTCCCATCGACAATTTGCTCTCTGTTACTTTTTTCTCTTCAAATTCATACAATGTTTTCTCCTAGATCCAATAAAACAACCTTTCTCGATCTTTACTATGTTTTTATAAATGCTTCTCTTTCGTCTTCGCCATTGTCGTATTTGTCATTATTACTAAATACTCCAACTACTGCATTCATCGTTAGTGTTATAGAGCAGATATGATTCTATCAGATGAGAGTTTTATTTCTTAGATCTTTGGGCTTAATTTTGAATTCAGTTTTAAGTAAAGTGAAATTATTTTTTTACTTAGTTCTTTCACACATATCACCACTGACCGGCGCGCGGCGGCGTAAACCGGGCCACCCAGAATTAGCGTGGTAAGTTGTATCAGTGCACAATCGGCGTTGAAATTTGTCACTTTTTGAATCAACTGTTAACTGAGCGATAATAGCAAATTTAGTAAAACAGATTGCTTTTGTACGACTTGTATTATCTTAAAGTCACCATATTTTTTAAATATTAATACGGACAAAGCACCGATTAAAAATCTTTCCATTGTTAAAAATTTTTACATGATTTATTAAATATTAACTAATATTAGCATGTAGATACGTTGCTAATTGTAAATAAACTAATTTATGTTTTAAAATCATTATTTCTGGCGTTTTAAAGAATGTACATAATAAACAAAATAAACAAAAAATTCTTATTAATCTGATTGACAAGAAATATTTTTTTAAAACCGTTTCCAATTTATAAAAAAATTGTGTTATCATATTTTTAAGTAGTGCATATATTTAATTTTTAAATCTCACCTCTGAGTTGCTGAACTATACTGTACTATACTACCATGTAAAACAATTTAGGAAGGTTAAAACAGTTACAAAATTCTAAATAGAATCCGATATTGTTCGGAATACTTACGAAGGGCAGCATAAGCTAGCCTGCGGTGTAGCATAGAATGATTTGGCAAACGAGTAAAAAACAAACTGTCATGTTAATTTGGCGGCGAAACGGGAATGGAAGAAGGTGTTTGTGTGTAACCTTAGTTCCATGTTTCTATGTATGAAAAACCATATATACGAATTAAGAAACAGTTGATATATTTAGAACATACTTTTTGCCAGGAGAAAGCGATTATGTGCCGAATAACTGTTTGTAAGAATGGTCCAACATTTAAATGATTATGGCAGCCTTAAATGTCACACTAATTTGTACAGTAACGAACTCAGAGAGTGAGAAACTTAGTACCTAAAATTTTAAAGTACTCGAAGATTTCAAGTATGTCATATGCTCTAAAAAAAATCAGGTGATTAGATTATTTAGTTATTTATCAGTATTTAGTCATTACTGTTTGAGTTTTCTGTTAGATTAGTTGTTAAGTGTGTATGCGCTGTGACCAAAGCAGTTCATACTAGCTTGTCTAGAGACGGATAATTGAAATTACTAAAAAAAAAAGTTAGAAAAATCACTTTTCACGATGCAATTTGAGAAAACAAACTTCTGATACATGTTTCTAAAGGTCAAAAGTATCATCCATGTAATTATGACACTCATTCAAAGTTTAATCCTGTATAATTTATTTATAATTTATCTCAGAAATATATATTTTTACTGTACCTGATTTTTTACTATGTATTCTGAAAGTCATTTCCAATTTTACAACCTTCCAGGTAGACATACATTCATCAACAACAACAACAACGTGTGGTGCCTTTACAAAAACTAACATATATCTTATTTCAGAGTGCATTCTTGAAGCTGCCGGC